TCACGTATCCAACTTGATACATAATTGATATTAAATAACTTTGATTTGAAGTTGCTAAGCCCGACGAGAGAGAGGATAAAACAACAACAACAACAACAAAAAAAAAACGATGCTTTGCTTGTAGTACACCAGATGTTGCCTTTCAATTAGGTTTCATTGGTGAACTGAAATCAGAGATATTTGGGGGGGGGGGCTCATCCCCACTTGATTCAGTTTTTTCAACGTTTAGATTTGCTAAACTAAGTTGTAATTTTCGTAAATAGATTGTCGTCAGAACATTTTGAAACACTTTTTTGTTTTGCTAAAGCACATCTTCATGAGGACATTTAGACAATATTTCAATTTGTAATGTAGGCCTTCATTAACATATTACGGACAATAATTTAATTTGCAATGCAGGCCTTCGTTAACATATCCACATACAATATTTTTGGATTTGCTAATGCAGGCCTTCGTTAACATATCTACAGACAATATTTTGGATTTGCTGATGCAGGCCTTCGTTAACATATTTACAGACAATATTTTGGATTTGCTAATGCATGCCTTCTTCAACAGATTTACAGACAATATTTTGGATTTGCTAATGCATGCCTTCATCAACATATTTACAGACAATATTTTGGATTTGCTAATGCATGCCTTCATCAACATATTTACAGACAATATTTTGGATTTGCTAATGAAGGCCTTGAACAAGACATTTAGAGACCTATTAACATAGTAATTTTTCCACACAATGTTTCGAGTTGCTAAAGCAGGTAGCTTGGTGATTAGGGTGCTCGATTCGCAAGCTGCGGGGTGCGGGTTCGATTCCCCGTCATGAGGGCGTTATTATGTGACGACCAATACCACTATTCATTAGTAAAAGAGTAGCCCAAGAGTAGACGTTAGGTGGTGATGAAAAGCTGCCTTCCTTCTAGTCCACGGATACTCAAACTATGGTACTCGTACCACTGGTGGTACGTGAAGCTAATGTCGGTGGTACACGATACAATTAACAAAAAAATCATAAAATTTGTAATAACCCTATCTGAGCTTTCCACGTACATATGCATACTACTCTCCTCACTTACTAGACTTACCATCCACTTACTAGACTCACCATCCACTTACATAAACTCACCATCCACTTACATAGACTCACCCTCCACTTACATAGGCTCACCATCCACTTACATAGGCTCACCATCCACTTATATAGGCTCACCATCCACTTACACAGGCTCACCATCCACTTACATAGACTCACCATCCACTTACATAGACTCACCATCCACTTACATAGACTCACCATCCACATACGTATACATACTACTCTCCTCACTTATAGTCTCACCATCCACTTACATAGACTCACCATCCACTTACATAGGCTCACCATCCACATACGTATACATACCACTCTCCTCACTTATAGTCTCACCATCCACTTACATAGACTCACCATCCACTTACATAGACTCACCATCCACATACGTATACATACTACTCTCCTCACTTATAGTCTCACCATCCACTTACATAGACTCACCATCCACTTACATAGACTCACCATCCACATACGTATACATACTACTCTCCTCACTTATAGTCTCACCATCCACTTACATAGACTCACCATCCACTTACATAGACTCACCATCCACATACGTATACATACTACTC